GGCGAGGCGCTTCTGTTCTTCGAGGCGTCGTTCGACCTCGGCGTCGATGGCGGTCGCAAGCTCGGGCCAGTCTCCGCGCGACCACTCGACCCACGACTCTGGCGCCCGCTCGGCGAGTTGTTTGACGGCGGCGGCGACGCGCAGCTCCGTCTCCTCGTCACGGATGGCGCCCAAGGCCTTGCGATAGGCGAGCTGTTCGAAAACAAACGGTTAGTCGGGTTATGCAGATTACAAGCAACTTACGACGAGAGGCGACAAGTCTTGAGCCCACTCTTCGACCACATCGAGCGTGGCGTCGGCGGTCGGCGGAGCTTCGAGGACCATGAGCAGCGAAGCGAGGCGGCGGTTGACGAGCGAAGGCGTAGAGGCAGGGGTGGCGGAGCGAGCAGACATCGTGGAAGCAGTGAGTATGCGAGAGAGGGCGACGAGAGAGCGACGAAGGAACGATGGGATGGGGAAAATGAGGCTAAGTCTACCCTGCTTATAACCCCCTTTCCGACCAGCGTTTAGCGCCGGCCACGTGGCGTTCGAAACCGAAGCGGGTTGTCACTCCGCTTCGATCCATTCACGACCATCGCGCTTCTCGCATCACGTGGAGGACCGAGGGCGGTCCAAATTTCAATAGGAAGGAGATGATAGGCGCCGAGCCCCGCTGGGCCCCGATACACCTCTTTTCGGCACTCGCATCCCGCCCGGCACTTCGACCCAGTCTCCCAACAGGTCGATTTCGCCTTCGACGCTCTTCGACACCTTCGACGGTGCGCGACGCTTACTCGAAGCTCGGCACGGTCTTCCCAAGGCCTCGTGCGTAGATCTCGGAACATCTTCCGCATTCGGCGAACAATAGGGCCACTCGACGCCGCTCGGCCAAGCGCGCGCTTCGCTCCAAGCCACACCGAAGTAGCCGGTCTTTCCCGATTAGGTATCGAACCTCGCGGCATGCCTTCACGACGGCTACCGGTCCGAAGTGGCCATATGTTACTCTTCATCTCCGCGTTCGGCATGACGTCACTCTACCGATGGACTTGGTATGTGCCTCTCGGTGAGGCAGGTTCTTGAGGAACAATGCAAAGCCCCTTGTACTCGTATGCCACTCTCGAATAGTCGTAGCGTCCTGTGTAGTATAAAATCTGTCGTACTTCTCTCTAAAAATACAAGATC